GGACGTCACAAATGCGCACTATGGAAATGATAATGGGCAGAGTGAGGTCATAGACTAGATATCACAAGTCAATAATGAGTGTCCACTATTTACATCACATAGTCGTGCACGTCTGTGACACAGAGAGTTAATGAGGTTGTCGATGCAGCTCGTGGAACAATGTCCCACTCTTCCTGAAGGGCTTGGCGGAGCTGGTGAACATTTTTGGGGAGATAGGATCAAGTCGCTGGACACGTCTATTCAGAGCTGTCTGAAATGATTTCTTGATTGTGGACATTTAAGCGTTTGGCTGCAGCCCTAACAGACATGGTGGCATCCCAACAGCCTGTTCTTCTTCTTTTTCTTGTCATCTGTGGCAGTATAACATTTTAATAAAGCATTTTGAGGTGTCCTTTTATCGTCACTGGTCAAAGGAGTGTCTGATCTGATCTAATTATCGTCTTTTAAAGCCGCATCTGACTAAACTGTGGAGTAAATTAGTGGTCAAGAACCTGTGAACAACTAGATTTGACTTTGCGAAAGATCCAAAGTCTTTTTGCTACACAGACCCAAGCACATTGAATAAAGAAAGGAAATTCTGAGTTTAATTTGAAGTTCAATTCCCCCTTTTTCCTTCTTATTTTTTTCTTCTAAACTCAACACATCTCCCGACATTCTCCTCACTCTTCCCCCCTTCCTCAGCCGTCACGCTAGCTGACCTCACAGCCGCCACCAAATTAACACCAATTAACGTGAGGCTAGCTGACGGCTACCTGCGGCTTCCGACTGGCACAGTGGTGTGAACGCACGGCTCGCGTATCCAGGCCTCCGTCTGATAGGTCAAACGGTCGCATGCTGGGTGTGAATGCACGGTGCGGGTAAATTGAATTATTTCCCTTAATCCTTCGCGATGGGTTTATTGCGCACGTTCATATCGGGGAAAATACAATTTACCTGTCAGCGCTAATGAACAAGTGGTTTTTATTTTTCTCCGGGCTTCTCTCGCATCCCCACGGGCGCAGTCATGCACAACCGCGGCACTAAACAAGTAGATATTTCACTGATAATGTGCTGGAATAAACACGGCGGGCTGCATCACTCGCACCAAAACAAGCAGATGGTCACATAATCAAACCAATACACGGATAGAATGAACAGCACTACTCAGGAAACTGCAAACTTAAGCAGCATCTTGAATGACGGCACACGGTCTAAGCTTGCAATAACGCAACTTTTAAACCACAGCTTTGTCCGTATTTACTTAGAAACACACGGAGAGGTGACCAAATGAAAGTATGACTGTCTGGTAATGAAAATAATCTGAAGCCCAGAATCCTCTTGAAAACATCACCGGCTCACGTCTTTAAATGGCAGCTGAGTCCTGGTGCTGTCAGTCTATAACAACATTTATCTCCAAGTTAAGAGTTTTCATGCTGCGGGTATTTAAATCTGTTGAGTCAATCAACAGGAAAATAGCATTGGCTAATTTATTACTATTAATAATCTCTGTTTCCAGCCGCCCAGATACGAGGATTTCCTGTGTTCTCTCTGTTTTACATCACTGCAAAATTAACATCTTTGGATTTGATCCTTAAATTAGGGACCATGTGTATTAGTTAATCAAGAAGATAATTATTGCAACATTTAATCATGAAAATGGTTGTCAACTGCAGCCCTGTAGTTTTTAAAAAGTCTGTACAACTAATTCTTAGTTTATTCCCTATAAAGCACATTTTCTAAGTTCCCTTCAACCAAGTTATGCTAGTTTACTAAATAAAATGTTAAATCCTCAACAGCAATAGCTTCGTTTTCGTTGACAGATTTAGTAAAAAGACTGTTGTTTTTATTTTTAGATCTGCCCTATATACTGTATATATGTTTTTTCCCTTTTCCTTTCCATTATTGCACAGACACACGGCTGTTCCCTGTAACAGAACGTTCCTGAGTGATGATCTAATATGTGCATATTAGCAAGATATGGAGACTGAACTTTCAGCTCTGACACATACGCTGAGAATGACATATGGTCGGCTCTCTGGAGGACGGACCCTACGGATGGCTTTTATTTTCTTCATAGTCCAGACCTAAACTCTCTTTCTTCCTCCCTTCACCCTCTGCCTTACTTTATTATTTATTAGAGGTTTTACTGTGAGATGAACTCATTCTGTTACACAAGAAAGAGGCCGGACCACAGAATTGTTTCAGAACATGCTCAGAGAAATATAAATGCTTATGTTACTTGTGCTACTACAATCTAAAAGACTATTTTCATCCAAGTAGATCATATTACTGTCATATTTTTACACACATTTAAAAATAAATATTGTACTTTTTTTTTTCTTTAAATTTTGCAACAGCGTTTTTACACTCACTTGAGTTCATGATGTGCATATTCGGAGACGGAAACACCATATTCATATACATTTTAACGTAGCTAACATTTAACACACTGTGACTGATCGGCTGTTTTCACTTCTTTTGTTGTTTTCGCGAGTAGACGGCACGGAATATAGCGAATACCAGCTGACATGTTAGAAGTGTGTTGCTTCTTCGTTATTGAGTTTTGTTTATTGGCAACCAACTGGTTTTGTCTCCTGCTACTTCTCCTCATTACAGCCATGCATAACGTAGAACATACCACCACCTACTGACAACAGTATGCTGCGTGATATGTCTCTTCACAGCAGTCAGTGGAAACAGTTCACATCTAATTCCACTATAAAGAATCGTGACCAGCAAACCACCTCATAGTTTGAATTATATCATACATCTGTACTCTGCATAACCGTCCGACCTCTTCTATTAACAACCCTATGAATAAACTACTACCTCGTGGCCGCCTGCTGCCACCAGCAGACTTTTCAAAGTGAAACATAAACCCAAACAAAGTCCACATTGTGTTAATGAGTTTCTACATCTTCCCTTTCTGCTCTGTGACTCAGCGTGACCCAAAGGTCACAGAGGCTTGCCGGCAAAGTGAGACTCTGACATGTCACCTTATCACCTGCCCTCCCTAAAAGCCTGCACCCTCATTCCTCTGTCTCTGCTGTTGTGTTTTTTTTGAAAGTGCAGACAAGCAGTCAAGCCTTTTTTCTATTTCTGCCTGCTACGAATCATTTGCACTTCAGAGAGGAACCAAAGTGCTACTTCCTGTCTGCCAGTCTTGTTGCAATCCTCCAGGAATATTTACCTTTACATTTTTTTTTTTTTTTACCTTTATCTCCTCCTGTCTTTGTTGTTGTCCTTGCCATCCCTTCTTTGTCTACCTTGCCCTTTGTCTGCTGTTCTTTCCTATTATGTCACCCAACTGTGATGAATGTAAACATACACATGGCACAGGGAGAGAGAGAGAGTTCGGCTAAATTAAGCATACAGATGTAGGCAGCAGAAGAGATACTGGGTGCATTGAGACAGCCATCCTGTAAGCTAGTGGCTAATTTTAGCCTTTCAGGGCAGTGCACTGTATCCCCCTGTGGATGAGTTGAACCATAGAGGGATCTGAGCATCAGCTCAGGCTCTTGTTCTCTCCTCTGTTCTGTGTGTGGACACTGTCCTTTGTGCAAAAAGGTTACAGGACAGTCACAATAGACTGGGGTGGAGAGATGGGAATTCAAAGAGCTTTTAAAACACCTGGGGTTTGGTGGGGTTTTAACAACAGATTCTGCATACAAATGGGAAAACATGTTCAGAATTATGCCACTATGCATATCAGCACAGCCTGAAGTACGTGCTCGAGCTCCTTTTCTTTTTCAGAGTGATTGCACTCTGTGAGAAGATGACGTATTAATGTGGTGCAATAATAATCAGTATCTTTCCAAATTCTTCAATCTCGAAAAAATTAGCATAGAACTGAGGAGAGAAACAAAAGGCAAATTGTTTTACTTCTTTGACATGATTTTAGTGCTTTTTCTCCCCTGCAATATTCACAAATCTAAACTTTTATCAGTCATGTAGAAAAACTTTCTCTGAACCAAAGAGTTCGCCATATTTCACCTTTTTTTTTTTGAAACCTCATGATAATTTGGTGCACCACTTAAAAAGTCATTACGTTTATGATAAGTAGAATGGCTAATTTACGGGGGATGGAAAGCCATCTGACTTAAAATAGATGCTAATTACCTGAAAATCATAATATTTCAATTCAACAAACTGGGAAATGAAGCAGGTTTATTATGCAAAACGGACCAATCAGTGGCCATCTTCAATATTTTTTCTGTTTTTAGGAGGAGAAATTGAGCCTCAGCGTGAGAGAGATTATGGAATAACTAACCTGGAAATAAGTAATGGGGTTCTCATGCTAATGAGAGACTCTAAATTGGAGCCACAGCCAGCCGGGCGTGAGTTAATTCTCTTCGGCCAGATCCGATGTAAATGAAACGGCGTCTCTCTGCAGATGTGCTTACTCACCTCGCTGATGACTTTCTATTCTGAAACTTTGCTGCTCTGATTAAATCGCCACACCAGCGTTAACACTCGTGCCATTGAAACACACTTACCGGCTAATTATTCCGGAGGTCTGCACTCCCTTCATCATTCACCTCTCTCGCTCTGTGCCGTGTATGTTTCCTCCACTGGTCAGTTTGTTTTGGAAAGCAGCCATGCTGAATTATGTACAGCTCAACATCTGTGAGTGAAGAGGTGTACGCGCGCACACACACATACACACACACACACACGCACACACACACACCTACACACACTGCGACAGCCAAATTCTTTGGTGACCAAACAGGCTCACCACGCCCTCAGCTTCAAAGGTGACTCTGTGCTTTTGTGAGCGTTTTAAGTGTCTTTTTAATCTTTTTTTAAATCTTTTTTTTGTGCCTCTGAAATACCAGTGCATGTGATGTTTCACAGAGACTAACAGATCTAAACCCAGACCACGGTGTCTGCACGCTGTACTTGAATTTGATGTACGAATGTCAGAATTTGAGTGAACTTTTCTCACACGACAAAAGAGAAACTGATGAGGTCTAACTGAGGTCTCTGTCTCTCCCTCCTTCTGTCTTTTCTCTTGGCAGATTTTCCATATGACCTATGACCTGGCTAGTGCAGTGGTAAGAATATTTAATTTGATAGGGATGATGCTGCTTCTGTGTCACTGGGATGGCTGTCTCCAGTATCTGGTGCCTCTCCTCCAAGACTTCCCCCCTGACTGCTGGGTGTCCCTAAACGGTATGGTTGTAAGTATTAAACACTCTTCTCTTTTGTTTGTTATTTTTTTGGAATATGATGTATAAACTCCTCCAGTATCTGGAGCCCTGCTTCCATTACTTGCTGTTGCTCTACATGTCAAGCTTCCCGTTCTTGTGCGTCACATATACAGCTTACAGAGATAAAAGAGGCAGATTCACCACTGGAAGTCAATAGTCATTTCTGAAACAATGGGTTCATGATCTCAGACGGATGAAGGCAAAAGGAGGTTTCCTATTTCCATCCAGCAACCTTCGATTTGCTGCCATTTTGAAGCCTTGAGTGTAGTATTTTGCTGTCGCCATCTTGGTCTTTTGACATGACAAGCAAGCGGTGGATCAGACTGAGAACTTGAGGACACTATGCCTGAAAACATAACCTGCTTTATTGGTTGTTTTACTCCAAATGAGACCATAATTTACAAAATGAACACTATGCGCTACTTAAAACAGCCTTGAAATTAGAAATTAAGACCATAAACTCTTTAGGAGGATGTTTGGGGAGGTAACAAATCAAGTGAGGAGTAGGATCATTTTATGCAACCTGTCTTCTTTTTCTTAACCACAGGAGTCGCCCCCTGCTGGTTGTCTAAAATACTGCAGGTTTAAAGAACTTCCACACTGGCTTCTTTTCTCAGAGGTTACATCTATCTTATACATACAATCTCTGGTTGTACCAAACTAGTTAAAAAAGCTACTTTTAATACATTTCGCAGGGATGCACTTAGAGGTATACCACGGTAATAATAAGGCTACATGTCTTAGAAAAACAGTCAGCATCCTCACCAGCTGATGATCCTTTGAGAAGACGTGTTTTTGTATTGCAGCTTTTGTGGCATCATAATCAAGTATGATCATGGATATAAAGCAAAGAGTGATAAAAAATTGTTTAAGAGTACAACAATAAGTCTTTCTTTGTGTTTTCAGCTTCGGTGTTATTTACTAGCACAGATCTGATCTCGTCTAGAGTGAACTTCACTCTCATGCTGCTGTCTATCATTAGAGCACAATTAAAGATCATATTAGATTGTAGTAAAACATCTTAGGGGTTAAAGATTCTGGCTGTAGTAGGTGTAGAGTCTACGATATCCACACTGAACTGTAAAGCAAAAGGGCAGAGACCGCGAAAAATACAGCAACTTACTCTCATAATGAGATGTCTGTTAAAAATAATGCGACAGTTTAGCTGAGTGTTTTGAAAGAAGTAAAAACCAAATATATGTGCCAGCTTTCTCTTCCTTGGCATTCATGGTTTGCTTTTGTATAGTTCTTTGGATTTAATTTAATACTGATTTAATACTGAATTTAATACATCTGGCCACGTCTTTATAGAGGATTTCCATGACTACATAGATAAAAATCGCTTTCAGAGTTCAGTTATTAATTTCTCTTGGGGGATAGTTAGACATACGCAGTTCAACAATTATTCAGTTTAAGAACATGTATAGAGACTAATTAATCAAGGTATTTGAGTTTTATGAGCTATTATGTTTGGCCCCTGGTGCGCTCACTGAGGCCTACAAACACTAAACACTGTCAAAAGCACCAGCTGACCATAAATAATGCACCATTTATGTTATTTGTTCGAGAGGACGGCCTCCTATCATTCAGTCAAGGAAGTATATTATGTTATTTCACACTGGGTGTAAAAAGTTATCGTGTGCACTGACATGTAGTTGTAAAACATAAAAAATGTGAGCTACTATGTCTCCTGCGTAGACAGCTTCACTGATTAGATTAGAAATATCACTGTTCTGCATGTGAGATGGACGACAGAAAAACTTGGCTTTCAATGTCAACTCAGCTTTAATTTGAGGTCTTTGAGGACCGTTCCCTTCCTCTGTTTGGGCTTCTCCGTCCACTGTGTTTTCTGTATCTTACATCCTCCCGTTCTTTCTCCCGAGTTTGGGGTCAAGCGTACTGTGCTTGCTCCTCTCACAGCGATGTGATAGTATGGAAGTGTCTGCAGGCCTCCTGGGTATTGCTGACTGTAAATGCCCGCCCGTGGAACTCTTCTTCCTTCCCATCTCCTTCCCTGCGACAAACATCTCTGCGCTCCACATGCACACGAACTGCTCGGAGGCCTCAGACTGGAGGTGCAAATGTCAGCTTCCCTCAGCATCACAACTCTGCATCCCCGCTCTCTTCTTTACTTGGAGGCGATGAGTTGCCCAAGTTAGTTCAATACCAGCTAGCATGTGTTATTCATCCAAACAGACATTACCCATCTACGTTCGCACCAAAGGAATTTACAAGCCATCTAATTTTCCACATTACTGCCACAATTAATCCTGAGTACTGGATAGGTTATGTACAGAAAATTGGGCAAACAGCTCCTTTAGTGACCCAGATTTGATTAAGAGTCCTTTGATCAGCACTGCTCTGGATTCATATTTACTTCCAACCATGAGACTTAATGACTAACAGCTCCTTGCGTTTGCACTGTGTGTTGCTGCTCTCGCTCAGAATAAATCAGATACATTCCCCTTGTGTATGCAAATCAATACGAAAGGGAAGTCGTGTAAAAGGCTAATTTGCTGCCCCCTGTGTGGAAGGATCATTTGCACTGTGGAAAGCTGAAGCTGTAGCTGCAGATCGCAGCACAGTTCTGAAACAGAGAAAGCACGAATGTGTGCAATAAAACAGCAGCGATGACAGATTAATCCTCTTTTTTTTTTTACAGATCAAACAGTAGAATACTACATACTGTATTTAGAAACAACACTACAAATACGTCGCCTTGCTCCTCACAGAGATATCAGGTTTATAGGAACACGTTCCGACTGCAGTCCTGCAAACAGAACCTCACAGCGTCTGTCTGGATCCATTTCAAATCTCAGCAACTTCTCTCGCTGGTGGATAAGGGTTAACATTCAGTGCATTTCATTCATCTGAAATGGATATTGGACAGCATTGAGACTAGTGTCAAAAGCATTAGTCAATTACTTCCTATCAGCCCCCTTTTATAAATGATTTCACTTTGCTTATCAATCAATCACGTATCTGTTTCCAGAATCTCAGATATGAGGAGTCGTTGTTTCTGCCACTGTAAAGTGAATATTTTTAGGTTTGGGCTGTCGGTCAGATGTAACAGCAGATTAGATCGTTAGTTTGGACGACTGCCAGGTTTGATGGGTATTTCCAGCTTGTGACATCTTATGAAATATGAATCAATAATTTTGACAGGATCACTGCACTCACAACACAAAGCTGTCGCACAATGGATATAGATTAGTAAATGTGTATAATAGCCAACTTTTACATAGATATAACATTTTTGAAGCGCAACCCAACTTGAATAAATGTTGTCCATGCTGAATTAACTCCCAAATTCATTCATCTTCTAATATTTGCTTTTAAAAGTCCGATCACAAAAAATTTCCAACATCTTTTTATCTATTGATGGAGGTTGTAAAAAGAGTCACAAAACTTTGAAATAAATCGAATGCATAAATAAACTTGGCATAAAGGAAACACTTGTACAAACGTTTTAGACTTCTTCCAATCGGTCAGTATTAGTTGGTGATTTGGAAAATACATTTAATCACTTATAAATATTCATACACATTTGTAAGGAATTCAAAATACAGTACATTAAAATACAGTATGGCGGTACAATTTATCATCATTTCTAAATATGTTAAGCTCTTGATTGCTTTTGCATTCATTCCTCCTCCCTTTTTTGTGATGATTGAATATGTTTATTGAACCTAAACATGCAGCGCCTTCCTTTCTCAAACACACAGTTAACCCAAAAAAACATAAATGACAAAAATAACCACGAGTTGCAGCTCTGCAGAGACATATTGGAGGCAAAACCTCTGTTTATGCCACTGGTACTGTATTCAGGGTATCATGAGCTCATGAGCAGCTCGCATAGTGTTACTGACTGTGATGTGGTAGAATGAGCAATTTGTGGAATCTCTTCCCCGTGGATCTCCACAGAACTAGAGGCCTGCGTGCTGACTGCGGTCTGGCAAATCCAAAGTGATAAGCCCGGCCCACATGTGGGATCCCTCTTCTCACACCATCACAATGCATTAGCGTTCATATGCTAAAAAATCTCGATAAGGTATCTCTGCTCCTGTTCACTGCAGGTATAAATACATCCTGCGATTCCCGTCAAGAGAGACCGTCAGTTGAACTTTCTTTGAGCCGTGTCTGCTCAAGAGTGATGACTTTAAATTCGAATTGCGTCATTCTCCCCCCCATCCCCTGTTGTTCTGTTGTTAGTTCGGTACTTTGTGTCTCCAGCTGTGAGGCCAGCGAGGACTGCAGATACTGCTGAGTGGTGCAGTACAGGGTGTGGGGCTGTTATCTTCTTGACTAATGGCCTGAGAGTAGCTTCTTACTCTTTAGAGGCTGCATTTACTTAATCACCAGACAAGATAATGCTGCTGTCGCTGTGTTGGCTCACGTTAGAGGCCGACGGGGGCTGTTGCATTTGTCTGCATGTACAGCATCAGGACATGTGTGTGTGTGCTGAGTGCATGTGTGTGCTTGCTGTTGCTGGCCAGCCTCATATAAAGAGACAGACAGCTGAGCAGCAGCCTGCCGAGGATTCATGTCTCAGAGAGAGTTAGAGGTGGACAGACGGACGGATATTGTAGGTGGACACACACACACACACACACTCACAAAGACAGCGAGGCCTGACTATCCATGCATGAACCTTCGGCATCAGTCACCCTTCCTGGCTTCTTTTATCCACGGACCATCCAATACATTTCCATCTTCCCATCTCCCTGAATGAGTCACTTCCAACAGCCCGCCTCAGTCCAGAATTTATGAATTAATCAGACTTTTTTTTTTCCTTTCTTCTCTCACATTGCACTTCTCTCAACGAGAAAACGGGTGTTATCTCCGTAAAATGCAAGACTGCTTTTGTCCTGATGTGAACAGCTTGGTTTTCTTTTCTCTTAGTTTATTGTTTGATGCCGAGCACCTTTGGTTAGTGAAGACTGTTGTGACTCCGCTGTGGGGGGACTAAG